CGATTGGGTCGAAACAATTGCGTCACCAAATGGTTAAACGTAGCCGGAGCATTCGACAGCCGCTGGGGCATCACCAACCACTCCCAGAGCATACCTTTCGGAGTACTAACAGCAGTGAGCGGAATATTGCTAGCTCGCATGAGCAATTGGTAATAACCATCGACTAAGTCGAGCGTACTTTACATGGTACAATTGACCATATTGTTTTGAAGAACATCCTTTCTAGGATTGTCGTCTGTGCAGGTATAGTGGCTGCACTGAGCTTATTATAAGCGTGAACAATACGCCATTTACCATTGGGTTTCTTGACACAGAAAGTGGGTGTCGAGTGCGGAGATTTGCTCTCGCGCACCATACCCGCCCCGTGCTTTGCACGAAAGAACTCGTCAATGACGTCACACTTTTCTCTGGGTAAAGGCCACTGCCGTGTTACGCAGTATTTGGTTCCGGGAACCAATTCAATCTCATGACGTACACTCCTATCAGGAGGATGGATCGTGACACACCACGTCCTGAAATTTCTTAACTAAAGGATAGTAGGTATCAGAAGGGTTCTTCAGAATAGATGATACACTACGTGCAATTAGTGCTGCCTTTGTATCTTCAAAGACTACCTCATCGACAAGCGAGGATGAGCTCAACTCGAGGCCAGATCGAATGACCACCATATCGGATCGATTCCCAGCCTTCAGGCTTGATGAAATTCATCCACATACATTTCGTCTATCTCTAAGAGAGCATTTAGTGATGGGAAGGCCTCAAGGTTAACTTCACCATCTACATCACCCCGTTGACCAGGGTATAAAACTAGTCAACGACATCACTACGTGATAAAACAGACGCCTTGCGTCCCGCAACCGCCATCTGAGGACGCTGCCGTCTCATTGACGAGACCGTACCTTTTGAAGTACTTGGGATATCATCATTCCCAAGGTCGATAAATTCTTCGACCTTAAACTGCCTTATACGAGTGGTGATGTCATTAAAGACATACATTGAGTCACTATCGCAGGTGACATCACTAACAACGACTTTGACATTAATTTTCTCTATACGAGAGCTGATGTCATTACCAACATCCAGTAGATCGCTATTATAGCCACTATCACTAATATAGTTATTGACCTTAACTTGCTCAATACGAAAGCTGATGTCATTACCAACATCCAGTAGATCGCTATTATATCCACTATCACTAATAAAGTCATCGAACTTAACTTGCTCTATACGTGAGCCGATGTCATTACCGAGATTCAGTGAGCCATCGTCATACGTGACATCAATAACAAGGTCTACGACCTTAACTTGCTCTATACAAGAGCCGATTTCGTTAGCGACAACCAGTGTCTCAATATTACTATGAGTTTCACTCAAAGGAGTACGTACCGTTTCACTAAGTGTCACTGAGCTATGCTCGACACTATTGTTGTTGACGTTGGACTTTATCACCTCAGACACTCCAATATCCATTACTCATTTATTGGCTCGCACTAATAGCGCTTCTGTTACTTAGCGAAGGTGGGTTCATGTTCCAAAGCTTCGCTAATTACATTGAGCGATGCGCCTAAAGTTTTGGATCTCCAATCGATCCACGGCTCATGGCGTTCCATCCAGGCCATACCAAGAATGAGATCATATCTCGGGTCCAAATTTAGAACAAGACAACGCTCAATGCTATTGAAGTTTAAGAACTTCACACCTAAGTTTAACGGAACTTTAGGAACGGTAACACGTACACCTGTCGCGGAAAAAAGGTTGTACTGTATCCATCTTGCGCATCTAGCGGCTCCGGATACAGCTAACTCCCTTCAAGGGAACGACGTCGGACATAATTACCCGACGCCCCTTAGTCAGTTAAATTGACCATGGCTTTTAAAGCCTTTAACGGTTGCCGACACAAACAACAAGCCTGGCTTAGATATCTGTTCCATGGAAGCTTCCACAGAACCACCTGGGGCTAAGCCCTGATCATCTCTACCTCCTAGAGGTTCGACAGGACTTAGTTTTTCCCAGTAGGGCGCCCCGCGCCTACTGGGAGCTGACGTTTTCCCCTGCCGTGCTTGCCTTTTGGCTAGGAGAAGGGTTCCAGCTCTGCCGATTTGAACGTCGCTTTCGCAACGGACAGCTAGGCGGAGGTGCCTAGTATGTAACATCTACGGATGTTACCTTGCTGCTCTGCAGCTTGAAGCTCAGCTTCTTCAGCATGGCTGAGGTCCATGGGCTCGGCCCTATCAGAGGCATTTGAATTTATACCATGGTAGACCATAGCGAGCAAATTTGAATTTGAACTCAGCGTTAAGCGCTATGCTCACTGCCTCTTCGAAAGTCAAAGGTTCGACACGAAAAACTTCTGTCCTGGCTACCCCAGTACGAAGTCCTTCCACGAAAATGGTTACTCGGACTTTCCCTACCAGAGGGTCCTGCTGCTATGCAGCAATGAAAGCTCTCAACTCTTGGACATAGTCCGACAATTCTTTCTTACCCTGTCGGGTAGCTAAGAAGCGTGAGCGCACACGAGTAAGCCTGATTAGGCGGTGCAAACACGCAAGTTAATTGCTTTTTAGCATTTCCCATGTGGAAATTGCAGCGTTTACAGAGACATCGCTCGTTAGAGCCCACTCTCTAGCTCTTCCGACGAGCTTAGAAATGGCCAGGCCAACTCGTTGCTTAGCTGACACAAGCATGGCGGCATCCATTGCCATTTCAACTTCTCGAATCCAGAGGAGAAGATTTTCTCCCTCCTTCCCTTCAAAGGTTTTAGCTTTTAAAACAAGAAAGCGAGTCTTTGTCTCTGGATCGGGCACAGGCACTGGGATGTATTGCGTTGGCGCAGCTGACGCTGCCTGGTCGTGGGCCTGCCCGAGTAGCGTTTCTTCATCACGCATGAAGGCTTCAAGGTGAGTATTGAGGACCTCCGGGCCTTGGGCCAAAAGAACCTCGATTTGATCGGGCCCAACGAACGCAGATAATTATCTAGATCGAGTCGTTGCGCCTCAGAGAGTTGATTATAATTCTCCATCCTCACAGAGGGTCAGTCTTACAGACTCAGGGATAAGATTGACTACAAGTGCTACCTGTAGCGGAGCTACACAGCTTTAAAGTCAGAGGAAGATTTAATGGCTGAAAGCCTCGTAGTTCTATAGGCTAAATAAATTTACGGCTAAAAGCCACTTAGTGCTAAGGAACTGATTAAGCGACCAAGAAGTCACCCTGTTGTAAGGAACTAAAAGGGACATTTGGTCTACATGCAATAGCTTAAGGCTCAGATAACCAACGCACAGAGTGCAAGAACAAGATAGAAGCTTAAAAGGTTAAATGAACCAACGCGTGAAGTGCATAAGAGAAACAAGCCAATACCGAAATGAGAACTAATTTTATCTATGCATTCAGATTTTATGATTAATCCTACTCTAAAGACCCTACACTAGATTGATTACTATTAAAGAAATTATAGTATGCCATCGTCTGTTATTTGGATATGGAATCATCCAATCATTAGTGTATGTTGTACTCAGTACTACTGTATCAATCATGAAACTGATACCGATAGTATGAGGCATAACTAATACCTTATAATATCATCCATTTATAATACCCCTTTTAAAAGGATCGTGTAACCTCGTTACAATAACGGTTAATTCCCACAACCACTTTTAAGCTTATGGAAGAAAGCAAATATATGCGAGAAAATTAAATATTAAGTGGCTGGTTGTTGCCGCCGATTAAAAGAATGTAAAGAACGCTTAAGATGCGAAGTGGATGAGCGAACCTGAAGGGCACTATCCTTTGTTAGTAAGTCCAACACGTTGTCTCCCGTATGCACCACCCTTATATGTCTAAGGCGGCAAGGCGCAAACTTACAAATATTCTACAGTGCGTACACGCACTCCAAGTGTACGGCCAAAAACTTGCTCTTGCCGAACGAGCTCTTTGATGAAATGTACACCAATCTGGAGAATAGCAATTTTTGGAATGTGGTGGCAGCTGAAAGCAAACATATCTGCGAGCTGTATGAGACCCCAGACCTCGTACAACCAAATTCGTGTGTGGTTTTCAATGTTCGTCGATGTACAATCACTGTTCTTTACAACCTCGGATTAGCTTTTGCTATACTACTGATGTTGAATTTATATGCTCATTATCGACGTGCAATGTCCGTTCGTAGCATTTCTTTCATGGTACTTCTTTACATTGCATCTGGTGGAGGTGGCATCATACGGAAGTGTCGACAGCATCAATTGCCAGAATGCCAATGAAAATTATAAGAGCGCGTACATCAATGCAGCAGTCTACCCTCTCCCTGCCTGGGTTTCAGCTGCAGACCTTGTAAAAATGAGACACAACTTTATGAAGTGTACGCTTTGCCGCTCGGTCAGCCGTACATACCATTAAAATTACCTTCTGCAAACTGTATTCTAGTTGTCGCTGAGTCTCGATGATACCAGCTCAAATTCGGCAAATAAGCTCACGCCTCAGTCTTGAAGCAAAAAGCTGTATCGTGGTAAATGCTTAGCTACACCGATAAATTAATCAGTACTTTCACTCGCCTCCTTTTCGAATCGCCGAACGATGTTAACGAACGTATCTGCAGACGCTTTTAGCTAGACAGGTACGGCTGTTAAAAGATAATTTCCAGTACATTTTATCAATTTGATCCTCAAAAAGTAGAATCTGTCTAGATCAATTCTCCGTAACATAATAGTCTCCATAATATAACTGAATAGCTCGGTTCCCGAGCGAAGACGAGCAACTATTTTATACCCGTCTTAAGTAGTAAACGTTATAGTCTAATAACGCATCGGTCCTCAGAGTTTAAAAAGAGAAAGGCTCTACTGAATACCTTGCCTGTGTGTTCATATATGAGGACAGTCAAGCGTGACGTCAGATATCTTAGACTTGCAATAAGTTGACGTTTAATACGGCTTATCATTTGGACGACATATCGTTTATGACAAGTGCCTGACCATTTTTTGCATTTCAAATAACTCACTCCTACTATCTTACTCACTAGTCTGGTGAGTCAGCGGCATGTGTGAAACTCGGTTGGAGAACATGCCAACCATATCATCACTAGCCCTTATGTCGATCCGTGTAATGCTGCAGTGACTGATTGGGGCACCCAGCTGTATGATATCCTTAGGAACATCGTAGCACTGAGCCATACAGTACTGAATAAAACTCGTGTGGGCAATGACAACCTTGAAGTTCTCTGGTTCGCCCTTCGATCCACGCACCAGATTGTCATCTCCATCCCATCGACAGATATTCTGGAAGGCCATCTTGTGCATCGACTCTCGGTAGTCGTAGCGGTTGGAGACGTCTACATTCTTGGGGGCTCCTTCTTCGAGGAAGCAGCATTCGTACTTGTTGACAATCCACGGCATCACATTGGCGAACACTACCGCCGTCTCTACAGTCCGCCGCAATCCTCCATACACCAAATTGACAACTGGTTTGCCATTTTCTCTCGTTTTGAGCATTTTATTGAGATGTTTTGCCGTGATCTTGGCCTGTTCCTCTCCTCGCTTCGTCAATCTCTTGTCTCGGTCACAGACTCGGAAATTGATGTTCTCGGTCTCTCCATGACGAATAAAAATGAGGTGCGTCACCCCTCTAGGAACTTGCAGCGTTTTTGTAAGAGGATTTAGCACTGGTTGATTAAATCTCGGGAAATGAACATTACCCACATGGTACGTCCCCGTTTTGATCTGAAATGGTGACAACGTCGACCGACTTATGCATTTGTGGAGCAGCTGAGGCTCAATCTGTGCTCGAGCAGCCACTTGAATGGACCACCACCAGAGGAACATGTCCTGTTCAGTCTGGAAGCGAAAAAATGTCGAGTCGCGTTTGCCTTGATATAGAAATTCTATCCGCATGATTCTGTTTTTAAAATCGAGGAAGTCCAATTTGCAATTTGCCACTGGGACTAACGACTTTTTGCCCTGAATTGTAGCTTTAAATTTACGAAGGACCAAGATCCCATGATACAGCTCGGCCCAAGAGTTTGTCCAATAGGTGATACCCATTTTTACGCGACGGGTTTCGAGGAAGCCGCAGAGCACAATGTTATCGCGGCTGGCAGCTTTCCGTACCGCATAATCCTTACAACTCAGGGGACACTGGGGACGGTCCTCACTGAAGTGTAACTCCATCTCGTCGATTGTGTAGCGTCGTGTAGTGGACCCATTTTGTGGAATTGGGCGTGCCAAAGACGGTGTCGGGTAATGCGAGGCCAGCTGTAGGCTGCACGTCTCTAGCTCGTTGGGGTTGGCAAAGTGCACGGACTTGGGATTCCTTAATGGCAGCGGGTTAGCCCTGTAGGACGCGTTGGCAGCAGTGAAGCCAGCATACACGGGCATAGATGAGTTGAAACGTTGTCTTGTGTGTTAGACTACAACTTGCTAACTAATCGATCGGGTGCCTCTTGTAGTTGAATGTGTACGGACAATGCTGGATTTAGGCTGAAGGTCATAGCTTTGTATTGCGGGACATCATTCCGAACCCGTTTTGCAAGGTTTTGCGTTTCCACTCGAATGTTCGTATCTCTCATAATAATGACTCGTTTGCTGCTGCTACTCGCAGATTTTGAATCGGATAAAGGCAAGTTTTTGGCAACCTCTCGATAGCAAAAAGTCGGTAAGAATACAGTACTTCGAGCGTTTCCGACAGCCGTTTGTGGCGAAGATGTCGTCACTCCTCGAACGGTCGCGCTATTCAGTCATCAGTAGAGACAAGTATGCTCAATGCTTATCACCCACAATGTATTTCTATCGTTAGTAACGGCTAGTTTGGTTTAGTGTCGGCATCGCAGTGCGTGGCGCAAGTCGCGCCACGGATTCCTGCATAAAACAACATTCAGTGCTGGTTAACAAGTCGATTAAACTTGTTTGTTTTCAGTACGTGCTGAGCTGAAGAAATAATGTGACAATAACAAAATACTTTGAGCGAGGAAATGAAACAGGACTTCAGGCTTTATAATTATTAAACGATGATTGGTTTTATATTTCGAAACATTCCGGCAAACAGGTCGGACCACGTATTTACCAAAGCGCCTATTTTCTATTTATGTCTGCTAATCATAATTTTTCTTACTGTATTTTTATGTCTCCACTATACATCAAGTACTGTATACAATAATTACTACACACACATTAAAATAAATCCGTCGCCAAACCACCACCAATAATCTCGTCATCCATGGCTATGGGTGAGAGAAAGCAGCAAGAGGCCAAGGGCATGTTACGTTCCCGACAGGCAGTGAGCATCACGGCTGTGAAAGTCTCACCAAACCCGGCGGCTCTCGCAGCCGAGCTTAACCTGGAAGTGAATTTTCATTTAGAAGCGCCTATCGCCAACGGTGTCTGGAATATCGAGGTGGGGTGTAAACAACATATGCGCTAATATATTTTTGTCGCATCTTGACTTTTTTATGTTTACGCCATGAAAAGTATCTGGTGGACTCCGTCATGAAGCATCATATAATCAATATCCTTTCCATGCCACTCAATATATTTGCGTTGTCTTTCAATCACGAACGACCAGTTGACCCTTAACCAAAAACTCGTTTGTTCTATTTGTGTGCACACAACTGGGTCAAGTAAAGGCCCCTGACTATGCTCGAGGCGACAATCGGTTCCAGTTTTCGGTTGGTAGTGCAACATTTATGTTTTCTTGTCAACTTGTTAACTCTAACATTTACAAAACGATATGTAGACTCCGCAAGTCAATATTTCCGGCCTTCAGCCAAGTCAACTAACCAACTGTGGTTTGTTGATTGCGTCGTTCAAGGATGAAGACGGAGATATTTTAGATCTCAATATGGTCATTCAGGTGTCTGAGCAACGCGGAGGGCTTCAACGGATTATCTACAGTCCTCTAGAATAGACGGCCACACTGACTTGGTGGTTTTGTCAAAATATCGGATTAAATACTTAAGTGTAGGTTAGATATTTGCTGATTTTAATATGCTTCTACTATGCTTACAACCACTAAGCACTGGTCATGCAAAATATGCACCTGGTGAGAACTTCAATTGGCCAAGGGTAGTTAAACCTAGAAAGTTTGAAATCGGAAAATAGGCTTGAGTAAAACCTGCTAGATTGCGCAGGTTACACAGCCACACATTAGGGAGCTCTGAACTCTAGATGTCAGTCGTGAAAGAACACCATCGCATTGCAATTCTGACAAAAATAATAATGAATCTCATGTATTCAAACTATATCCGACTATGCTACGATCTCTGAAGTTACCTTGTTATTGAAAGACTATGATGAAAACGAATAATTACCATGTTGGAAACCGCACATACTTTAGATACAAAGAAAGTAAGTTGAAGAAGAGTTTGGTAGTAGCATAGGAGCGATTGCCTGAGAAAGGCACTATTTTTTTATATATAAGGGTCAATACAGCCTTTTAGTCGTGACTAGTGGCCGAGAAAGCCCTCCTACCAGTGCTCCTATGTCGCTAGTAGGTGTGCCGGCTGCCTTATGGGCGCCGGCAAATGCCCGCCTTCAGGCGGGCCCTCGTTGTTGTGCTGCCTGCCTACGCTGCACCTATCCAGTTCGTGACCGACCCAGTGGTCCACATCACCCTGTAGGTGAGTAGCCACTTCCGACCATGGTACGCCTGCTACCTTGATATCATTCTGGTAGAGTTGTATACTCTTGCCCGCGTTCATAGCTTGATGCGCGAGTCTGTCAGCCATACAATTGTATTGCCGTATGTGGTGGGTCCACGAAATGACCCCTATTCGATCAGCATGCATTGGCATTGCATGTACATCCCCTGTAAATGTCGCGTTTTCGGCACTCTTCTATGCCTGAGTTGGGTGAGAATGAGTAGACTGTCGCCGACTATATGAATATGTCGTATATGGTTACGCTGCATATAGCGTAATCGATTCAGGAGTCCGTGATACTCCGCTACATTGTAAGTCACCGAATTTCAATATGGCACACTCGCCATCCAGATTATTTCATGGAGCGACGAGCTGCCCCCTACACGTACTAGCACCGAGCCTGCCCTACCTTGTAATGAGGCACCCTCCGACTATACTGATTACAGTATAGTCTACTTTCAATGATTACAGTGAAAGCAGGTGCCTCAGAACCTCACGTACACGTGAGCAGAGGAAGGGAATCAACTAAACAAACGCTTAGTTGAAATGGAAAAGAAAACTGTATTTAATATAGTTAATTATCTAATAAAACTAATCTGTTATAACCTATGTTAACTATATTAAACTACAACTATGTATGTTGACGACTTGCCCTCCACTCATTACGCGCGTCCATCGGTCATTGGTCAGCGCGTTGGTTGATATGATGGCCCATATCAACCAATGAGAGGGCATCTCCAACTTCAAGGAGATCTAGGAACAATATTATAAGAAAAGGTAATATTGTTATTAGTTATAATAATATTTTTATTGACACTTCATATAAGTGTCAATATTATGTAACGGGCTCACCCCGTTACATCACCCCCCCCTTCACTAAGCAGTCACATTAGTGACTGCTTAGTGACTATGGGAAAAGAGCACTTGTTTTATTTTCTTTCATTCAACAATTTTACGCTATGACAAAGTCAATGCGCGTCGCTGCTAAGGCAGCTAAGAGCTCGGCTGCACGCCTGTGTGCAGCCGCTACTGAGGCTTCACAGCCTCAGCCAGCAGACACTAATGTGTCTGCTGGATGTCAACATCAGCCTTCAAAGCCTGTTGCAGGTTCACGTAGCGCTTCGCCACGTGAAGATGTTGACCCAAAGTTAGCCGTTGACTACTCTGGTGGGTCGGATGACGCATCCGACTCAAAGCCACCAGTGTCACTCCCGAGCTCTCCCCGGGGTGATACCTCGTCGTCAAATGTTACGAAGAGGGATCGTGGTACATTGAGTGAATCAATGTACCGTGAAATGTTCGGGTCGTCTACGACTCGCCAAACGAGTCGAAGGATAGTGACTCGGGTGGGGACCGTAAGGGTGATGTCAGTGCTTGTACTAACATCAATGCTTGTAGTGTCGGTACTTCTGTTGACACTAATGCTCGTGGTGTCGGTACTTCTGTTGACACCACGCAGGAGGCTTTAGACCGCAACGTATTGCGTCTTGCTCCTGATCGCAAGCCATGGATGCTACCTAAGCATCTGCTTGATCGTTGGTCTGGAAAGACCAACGAACGGTTCCCCATACCGTTGTTTGATGCATCAAAGCTTCATGGCCTTGACGCCAGTGCGAAGAACTTTCGCACTGAGAACGATTATTACATCAATGTGTTCCTTGAACATCGATGGTATGGCTCACACAAGAAGCGTGAGGCTGACGCGTTCTTCCAATCTTGGAACGCGTTTATCACCAACGTTTTAAACGTTGGGAAAGAGGCTTAGTTTCAAAGACTTTTTGCTAGCCGCAATAAGTTTGAGAAACGAAGTACGTCCGGTGCAGGCTATGTTTGCACCGGTTATCTATAGAGGCAGGCCTGTTATGCCTCTCTTGGGGCGACCCATGCCCGGGGTGCCTGAGCACCTCGTCAAGAGCGCCTAAGGAGGCGTACCTCCTTACTGAGCCCTGGTGGAGGGCTCGCATCTCTTCTGAGATGCGTGAAGGGATTGCTACTTTGCAATCCCTTTACGAGCGCGCTGGGCGCTCGTTTTCCGATGGTCCTTAACCATCGGGTGCCCTTTGTCGTACTGTTCGACAAGGCCGGGAACGTCGGCCATCAGTTGGGCCCGAGGTTCCCAGCTATCCGCCGAAGGCGGATAGCCACGCCACCGGACGAGATAACTCGTCCGACGTCCCTTCACCTCGCGGTGCTTTAGTAAGCGTTCCACGAGGAAGCGCTTCCCACCATGGGAGTCCACCAGCGGATGCGGTGGTGGAGGAAAAACCCTGTCCGATTCTTTCATCGGACTTGGCTGCTGAGTTAGACGGGTTTGCCTGCGTAACTCGTGAGCTCCGTTGTGATGTTGATCACAAACGGGATAAGCGTCGCCGCTTAGAGGACATTGTGAGACAGCTTGGGTTTGACCATGAGAAGTCTCGGGCAAACAATGCTGTCGCACTATTGGAGAATGAAAGGCGACTTCATTCTCTGAGTAACGAACTGGCGACAGCTCGTCAGGAGATCGTCCAATATCATGGGAAGATCTCATCTCTACACGACCAGATATCGAATCTGGTTCGTGACAACAAGATCTGAAGGAGATTCTTGAGAGTAATGGCTATCTTCGTCGTTCGAAGAAGCCGCGTACTGAACGTACGGACGAAGACGTCCCACGTAAAACGTAGGATGCGTACGCATCCTGCGTGGCAACTCGATCGTGTATGCGTTGCCTAGGCGGCGCAATACACGAAACGGGCCGATGTACTTGGGCAACAATTTATTGCTGCCCACGTTAGTCACTACATGTTTAGGTAGGTTTGGTACTGTTGACAGTAAAACTAAATCACCTTCAATAAATGTATGAGCATTTGCCCTTCCATTATTTTCTGCGTTTCGTTTTTGCTTATCCACCGCTTCCGCGATGGAATCTTGCACGAAACGGACTACCGCTTCACGAGTCAGCAGGAAATCCTCAGCTGACTCGTTGCTTTTGGCTGCAGTGCATTGTGAGTGCACTGCAGAGATATCGGTTACTAATTCAGCGAGAACATTACTGTTCTCATTTGTGATACCTAGAACAATGCTGACATCTTCAGCATCGTTATCAGTAAGAGCGTCATCGCTCTTACTTTCTTCCTCTTCGCCGAAGTCGAATGGTACGACTTCGGTTACTTTCGCGTCGACCAAACGTCGTCGCGTGATGAGCAAGAGCCAGATTGGTTCTCGCTCGAGCGAGTCCTTCCCCCCCCTAAATTAGAGTCACCCTCTACTAAGGTGGGGACACGTGGATGGCCTTCGCCATCCACGTAGAACGGTGTATGCGTCGTGGAGGCATGCACGGAATTGTTGATGGCGAATCCGACCATCGACAAGAACTCACTCCAACTCGTAAACGAGTGGACGTACCCTCGAAGAATCTCTTCGAGGACGCGATTGGCGCGTTCAGTCTGACCATCAGTTTCTGGATGGTCAGAAGTAGACATTGTGAGCCGTGTTCCAAGTGTTTGGAACACGGAACGATAAAACTCAGCCGTGAACTGGTGGTCCCTATCGGACACAAGTTCACGGGGTGAACCGTGCAATCGAAAGATTGTATCGATGAACACTCGAGCACAGCCCTCTGCTGTGATTGACTCAGGTACAGCAACAAGATGTACCATCTTGCTGAACCTGTCTACAAACACGAGAATACCATTATTCCCGTGAGCGTCTTTGGGAAACCCAAAGACAAGTTCATTGACACGGACTCCCAGCACTCTGCCGGAACAGGTAGAGGCTGCAATGTTGCACGGAGTGAAGGACTAGGCTTCACTCGTTGACACACCTCGCAAGCACGCACGTACTTGCGCACAAACTTATACTGGCGTGGCCAGTAAAAGTCGCGACTGACCGTGAGGTAAGTCTTCTCACGGCCGCGATGCCCACTTATTGGTGCATCGTGACATTCAAACATGATCCGTAACCTGAGATCATGTTGTGGCGGTACAACGACACGAGGCGTGTCGTTGTTGACGGCTATGTAGTACAGTAAGCCGTTCAGCTGGGTGTATCGATCGAGAGAAGATCGATACATGGCAGGCAAGCGCTTCTTAGCTTGCGTGGATGGGTCCTTGAGATACTCCATCAGGCGTACAAGATCATTATCTTGTGCGCATGCCCTTCTAATGTCGTCGAGTAAGCTCGACGACAAGACGTTGGTACTCAGCGTGGCGACAGTGGTGTTTACATTACTGTCGGATTGCACAGTCGGCTCTAGGTCAGGCCGACGTGAAAGAGCATCGGCGAC